CCCCCTCTCTCCCCACTCACTCTCACTTTCTATGTCCGGCCGGAGATTCTTATCGACAATGAACCCAGAAAAAGTTGTTTATTTTAAAAAGACTTTGTTGCGAGTGTATCAACTCTGTTTGGTGAGAGAAATTCAATAGCTGGCATCGAGAATCCGACACCCACACCCACATCCAGGAGTTGGTTGTCGCGACTGGACATTTGTACGAATCGAACAAACTTCAGCTTGGTTCTATTCGTACAAGTGTCCGGTCGTGACAACCAACCCTTCGTTGTCGGTATCGGATTCTCGATTCCAGCTATCGAATTCAGCCCACCAAACAGAACTGATCACCACAACAAAGTCTTTTTTTTCTCGCGTAGGAAACCATTTATCGCACCCTCTGGTAGGTCTATGGTGGAGACGACAGAAAGGTTGGGTAATTCGCTGTACAAAATCACTGTATGGAGCCCTCCCCCCCCCCCCCCCCCCCCGACCCTTGCGACGGACTTCGGAGAAAACCAGAGCCAAAGAACAACTTTAATGGTGGAATAATGGGCGGAATATTGCTCAAATTTTTCCAGAACGACACCCGAGCCTTGGTTCACGTATCAACACAATTACCTCTCCGCGTCAGAGTTTCTTTTTCTTTCTTTGTTATCCTGATGGTATTTTTTTGCGGGCTTCCGTGAGAGGAGAGGGAGGCAAAGGGTCGCGGGGCCGCGGTGTCAACTCGCGCGCCGCACACTCAGCCTATCTCCTCCCCTCCCCCCTCCGGGTCCCGCATAAACTCTGCCCATAACTCCCCCACACCCCCAACACAACCACCCAGGGCCCCGTCCCCCCCCCCCCTGAATCCAGCCAGCCGGACCTCAAGCCACCCCTGCTCTAAATTGATAAATTAACCTGAAAGTGGGTCTATTATTTTCCGGGATTTATTCGACCTTAAATGGTTCCGCGCAGGGCGGAATGCTGCGGTGCGCTCATTGTCAGGACCTCCCCGAGCGCGCGAGCGTACGCCGTGCCATCGCGTCCGATTTGACAAGGACAAATAGTCGAGCGAGATGACGTTGGGAGGGGGGGGAGCAGGTCCGTGTCGCGCGCCGTGTTATCCAGCAGGGCAGTAGCGAGTCGACATTCATTAGGCGGCACGAGCGGCGCCCAGTCGATTAAACGGTGATATACTTCCCTCCCCCCCCCCCCCCCCACGCCCCATATTGCAGTCGGCCGATAGCGAGCGCTGCTTGCCGCCGCGACCATCACGGGTGGCGGCTGCGGCGGACAACACCGCGTCGCGTCGTCGGCGTCGCGGGCCGTCAGGAACACATGAGAGAGACATCATATACACACCTCGTATCGTAGGCTCTGACTAGGGATTTTTTAAGTCCGAAATTATTCCGGGAAAATTTGAAACGAAACCTGTTCAATTGGGAAAATTTAAAATATTTCCCGGAAAATTGGATGTAGTTGAAAACTTTGCAGGAGAAGTATGGAGATTTTTTTGGGGGGGTAGGGGGGGGGTGGGGGGGTAATGTTGGAAAATTGCCCCATCAAACTTTTCCGGAAAATTGAAAACCATATCCTGACTCTACTGACCTCCATGCGGTGCAGCAAGGGGAAGCAGGGCGTCTTGCGCTCTCGCGGTGTCGGTGGAGTCGCGCGGGCGACGACGCGCAGTGCCACTGTCGGGTGCCAGGTCGCCGACGAGGACCTGCGCCGCCGCGCCGCGCCCCACGAGATAGACGGAGATAGCGCCTCGGCCCGGCTCTAATCGCGGGCGGAAAAGGAGAGCCGGTCGAACGGAGTGGCGGGGCCGGTCGGGGCGGGGCTGTCAAAACTTTCCATCCGCGTCGCACCCGCCAGGCAGGACAGGTCAGGGCCGCGCGGGGCGTGCGGAGCGCAGGTGGTGGTCGGTCACCGCGCCTTCGGGAGCACGCGGCGCGGCACGCGGTGCCAACGGGGACGCGGGTGGTGTCGACACATCTTTCGCTCTCCCTTACTCACATCCAAATCTCAACACTACTATACCACACTCACCACGAGCCCCCTGATCTGCGACACGAGCGGCGACGAGGAGAAGAAGTTCTGCACGGCGCTCACGATGTTGTTCTGCGGCGTCGTGGTCTGCTGCTGCTGCTGCGGGCCCGCCCCCGGCGCGGCGGGCCGCTCACCGCCCCACGGGCGCACCAGCCTGCAGGCGCAAAAGGTTAGCCACAACTAAGAATTGAAAAGTCCGACATTTTTCTGGAAAATTTTTCAGAAAAATTTGACAGAAACGAAACGTTGCTTAGAGTA